AAGGCGCCTCCTTGGCACATGCCTCCACGTCCTTACAGACGTATGCCTTGCTCTTTGCCCTTCCTGATTTTGACAGCATCATAAGCTCTAAGAAGACTTTATGTTCACCATTCAGCATCAGAAACAGTGCTTGTTACCTAGGAGACACTATAAATAATTAGTGAATGACGAATTGAATGGGCAGAGAATTCTGGAGGATGTAATGAAATGGTCATTCTTCTGCTATTTATTTTTCAATTCAGTACACCTCCAGTGGGAGATGGAAGGGTAAAAGCTCATTTTATGAACGGGGTGTCTGGAATCAGTCGACATTTCAGAGAAGCTGTCTTAGTCAAGGGGTGACAATTTGCAAAATAAATAGAACTTGTGGATAAAGGAAACCACAAGGGAGGGAGATCCTGGGAAAATCAGTGTGCTGTGAGTTGTGCCTGTGTCTTTGGACCTTCTGTGTCCTGTTACTGACCACACTACACTGCCTTGTCTCATTTATAGACAGTTGGTTCTTTTTTGTTTTGTTTTGTTTTTGTGCTGGAACTGGTCCTTCAACCTTAGGGTTTGGTGTTCTCTAATTAGACTTTTTTGCTCATGGCTGGTGCTCTGCCACTTGAGCTATACCTCAGTTCTGAATAAGTCTTGTGGATTTCTCTGCCCAGGCTGGCTTTGAACCTTGATCCTCAGATCTCAGCCTCCTGAGTAACTAGGATGATAGGCATGAGCCACTGGCACCTAGCTGAGTATAGACACTCTAGTGTTTAGGACTCAGTTTCATGCTGTGGGCCACGATCAGAGCCTGGCCCAAGGTTGGCACACAGACTGTAATTGTTATAGCACCTAGTTGTTGGTCTGCATGGGACAGAATCCAGAATGACGGGGCAGATGGGACTCAGTTCTGTGGCTGTCTGTACTTTAGGTAGGGTATAAGTCATGGTCCATCTAGAAGGAATCTTAGAAGCCATCAAGTCCAAATCTCAGGTCACAAGGTTAAGTCACATGCACATCTAGTGAACAGAAAGACTGAAACCCTGTCCTCACTTGCTCCTGTTCATATTCCTCTCTAGTATCTTTAAAAAGTTACCTTGAGGGGTTAAGCTGTGGCTTAGTTGATAGAACACTAGCCAGTAGGCAAAAGGGGAAGGTACTGAGTTTGAATTCCAGTCTTGGACCTAAAAGAAAAAAAAAAAGGGAAAAAAACACCTTGGGCATCTGTCCAGTAATCATCTTGGTAACGTAAGCTTTGGCTTAGTGGCATATTAACTAATGTTAGGTTCTGACATCATGGGTCTTCCCATTCCATAGAAGGCCTGGGCCACATTACTGTCACCTTTTGGTGGTTTGTTGTCATTTCCTCCTTGTTCTTCCCAACTTTGTGTTCTTCATTCCCTTGTTTGAAGCAGAAGAGGAAAAGTTTTGCTGTGTTAAACTGCATGAACATATACACGCACACACATATGTTTGTGTCTAAATAACAATTCACTGTTGCTTTCTTCTGGGCCTTATGAATGTAGCTGCATCCCAGGTCATCGACCCCTTTGGGGACTCTACCCCTCCCTGTTGTCCTGTTTCTGGGGTCCCAAATGTTGTGTATGGCTGTAAGTCATCCATGTTTCTTCGTTCTCTTTCTGTTTGGCCCCTTATGGGTTTGGGCTGACTCCTGTGAGTGTAATTTTAACTTTTTACAAGCTGTCAGTAAGCTTTCCCATGTTGCTTCACTTAGGGGAAGGAAGCATTTAGTCATTTCCTAGTTTAATGATAGTTAAACATCCTTAGCCCTAGAAATTTGCTGTGAAACATTTCCAATTAAGATTAATTGGGACGAATGCACAATGTGAGTTTGATGGTTTAGGGAAAGTGTGGTGCCGGCAGGAGGTATAGCCAGCCCGGCCGCCTGTGGCTGGTCTTTGGGATAAGGATGGTTTGACTGGCTGGGAGGTGAAGAGGCCCCACAGAGGGTCTGAATGCTGTGTTTACACATTGCCCTCTCTGGTCAAGTTAGGTCTTTTTCTGGATAACGCTTCTCAAGTTTTATGTAATCCCTTCTGAATCCCAAGATGTTCTGGATTACAGTTTCAAATTAGCTAGGTTTAGTTATAACTGAAAAAGATTGTTAATGTCTAGTTATTTTCCAGAGACCAAAAGAGCTTGTGAGTGTGTTTGGAGTAGAATTGTAGGCACAGCATTCCTCTACCCTGTGCAATTTCTGTAGACAGGCTTTGTCTTTGATTTGACCAGGACCCCTTAATGATGATTTGAGGTTTAGTACCCAGGCCAGCAATTGAGACAATGGTTGTGGGAAAGTTGTCCTATGCACGACTGGATGTTTAGGGCATCATAAGCCCTCCCCACTAAACAGCAGCAGCTTCCCCCTTTCCAGCCTGATCTGCTTCCATGTGTCACTCAGCATCTCCTGGCAGGGGTTGGGGCTGCCCTCCAAAAATCACTCCTGGCTAAGAAACACTAGTTCACAGTTTGTGACAAGTTTCAGTTGAATCATTTAGGGTTTCATTCTTGCCCAGGCAAGGGAACACTTAGCCATTGTGAAGTGTGAACAGTTGATTCAAACTCCCAACACAGTAGGAGAGATCAGATCAGGATTGGGTAGAGTGAGAAGGATATTGTAAAGTGTATTTAAAACTATTTTCGAAATATGTAAGACCTGTATGTATATTTACATCATTCTCCAACCAGTAAACACAAGCTATCTTGTGTTACATATCCTTCATTCATTCTTTGCATTCTTTTTTTGTCATGGGACTTGAACTCAGGGCCTGGGTGCTATCCCTGAGCTTTTTTGCTCAAGGCTAGTACTCTTACCACTCTGAGCCACAGCACTTCTTCAGTTTTTCTGGTGGTTTATTGGATATAAATGTCTCATGGATTTTCCTGCTCTGGTTGGCTTTGAACCTTTTTCCTCAGAGCTCAGCCTATTGAGTAGCTAGAGTTACAGGTGTGAACCACCAGCCAGCCTGCATGCACTCTTATCTGTTTTTTGTTTTTTTTTTTTTGGGGTCCAGTCATGGGCTTGAACTCTGGGCCTGGGCACTGTCCCTCAGCTCTTCAGCTCAAGGCTAGCGCTCTACCACTTGAGCCACAGTGCCACTTCCGGCTTTTTTTTTCTGCTTATGTGGTGCTGAGGAATCGAACCCAGGGCCTTCATGCATGCAAGGCATGCGCTCTACCACTGAGCCACCTTCCCAGCCCCATGCACTCTCATCTGTAGAGCTGCTCCCATCCAGGGGAGTAAGTAAAGGAGGGGAAACGTACCTAGGATCACCAGTTGAATGAATGACAGACCTAGGAGTTGAAGATGCATCTCTAGTCAAGTCAGTTTATCTGTGCTCTGCCCTAGGCATGGTGTTAAAATTCCTATTGATGCCAGCCAGCCAAACCCCTGTTACCATGGCCTTGGCTGACATGTGTTGGTGTCGACCCGTGAGGCCCAGTTAGGAATGGGGAGCTGCGGAGTGTTTGTTTAAGCAAAACAAGTGTTAGGGTTTCGGTGTTGGTGTTTTCAGTTTGGTTTTTATTTCTTTGCAGAGTAGCCAGTTTGTTATGTGTCCTAGGACAAACGGACGGTCACTGATAACTGCCACGAGCAAGGCAGGAGCTTTTTTTTTGGGGGGGGTCAGTTGTGGGGCTTGAACTCTGGGCCTGGGCGCTGCCCCTCAGCTCTCCAGCTCAAGGCAAGCGCTCTACCACTTGAGCCACAGTGCCACTTCCTGTTTTCTGGTGGTTTATTGGAGATAGGAATCTCACGGTCTTTCCTGCCTAGGCTGGCTTTGAACCGAGATCCTCAGATCTCAGCCTCCTGAGTAGCTAGGATTACAGGATAAGCCACCAGCACCCGACCTTTTTTTTTTTTTTTGTTTTAAACAGCCTTCTACATGTGACAAGCCAATATCTGGAAATGAAATTGACTCTGATTAGAAACATGTTCTGTCTTTGTGGCTATAAAGTGGGTCTGTGCCCCACTGCTTACTTGTGGTTAACAGGCCTGGATGTAAGTGGTAATATTCAAAGGTGGTATCTCATTATGTCCAAATGTAGTGTTTTGAGGATTACCTTGTCTATTTTATGAGAGACTCATTAGCTTGTTGATTTAGAGCTCTCAAACGTCCTGAAATTAGTTGGGACAGACTGGTTCCAACCACAAATCAGGTGGCACTGTTAAGGGTTCCACCTTCCTCACTGGTTGAACTTTACGAGTGTGACAGGGGTCACTGCCATTTTTCCTTTCCTTGCCATTTCCCCACCTTCTCTGAGCTTCTTAGCTATAGTCTACTGCCTTCCTCCCAGTTCACTTCACTTTACCATCTTGTCCCCAGTCTCTCCCTCCCTCCCCCTTCCTTGCTTTCATTATTTTCTGTATATTTGTGGTGACTGGGACATAGTGACCTTAGTAAATAGTTATAATCTAAGTATTAAGTGAGGAAGGTCTGCTGAAGCACACTGTGCATAACTTTCAAAAAACACGCAATAGGCAAAAACTATAGGCACCCCACGGCAGCAGTCAGCTGCTCTGTTGCTAGCTGGAGCGAGCTCAGGTCTTGTTTGCACAGGGTCTCAGAAAACTTCCCAGCCTGTTTGAATGAATGGTGCACTTTTATCCCTATCATAGAACATTCTATCTTTGCCTGGTTTATCTGTGGCATGAAGCTCATCAAACCCTTGCCTGGCAAACCTGCTACAGGAGCCTGCTTACCATAGAACCAATTGGGAAGCTGGCACATCAGCTGTCAAGTCTTCTGAGCACATAGCAAGAAGACTTGTGCCCTGCTCCACTTCCTTTGGGATCTAGTACAGAGGCTTCTCTGGAAGGAGGGCAGGCAGCCTGCATAGCATCTGTCCCGACTATGGGCTGAACCACATGCAGATTTGGTGGAGGTCCATGGTGGGTCTCTTTGGGTTTTAGAATATGCCCCGAGCAACCAGAAAGATACTTTTAAGAAAGAATTCTTACTATGGGCAGAAGTGACTTAAGCACTCTTTTTCTTCCTCCACAGAGTGATCAGCAGCTGGATTGTGCCTTGGACCTAATGAGGCGCCTGCCTCCACAGCAAATCGAGAAAAACCTCAGTGACCTGATTGACCTGGTACGTGCCTTCTTCATATGGTTTCATTTGAGACCATGGCTTATAATCACTTCTTTTTGTACAGCTCTTCCCATGCGAAATTCAAAACACAGGAAACCTCTCTGTAGCCAGAATCCAGGATCAGGCAGAGAGTTTCCTCCACATAAAGAAGATAAGTTTCAGATGGAGGCCTTTCCTTGAGACTATCTGTGATGATAAAGTCCAACACAGGCATTACAAAGTTGATTAGAATTTCCCCCAGTCCTCAAGCTGATTATAACTACCCCTGTCCACCCCAGCTACCTTGTCTTCAGTTTCTAGAAACTTGCACCCTTAGGCTAGAAAGGTGGCTCAGTGGTAGAGTGCTTGGCCTTGCATGCATGAGGCCCTGCGTTCAATTCCTCAGCACCACATAAGCAGAAGAAAAAAAACCGGAAGTGGCACTGTGGCTCAAGTGGTAGACGGCTAGCCTTGAGCTGAAGAGCTGAGGGACAGTGCCCAGACCCAAAGTTCAGGCCCCACGACCGACCCCACCCCCCCCAAAAAAAAAAAGAAACTTGCATGGCAAGTTCAAGGCCATACCTCCAACGGGCACTCAATAAAATAGCTGCACCGGGCTCTTACATAGTTTTGTTGTTTTGGTTTGGTTTTTTTGCCAGACGGGGGCTTGAACACTGTTTAAGCACTGTTCCTGAGCTGCTTTTGCTCAAGGCTAGCACTATACCACTTGAGCACAGTGCCATTTCTGGCTTTTTCTGTTTATGTGGTACTCAGGAATTGAACCTAGTACTTTATGCATACTAGGCAAGCACTCTACCACTGTGCCACATTCCCAGCCATACACATTTTTGTTGTTGTTTTTGTTTTTTGGTTGGTCGTGGGGCCTGAACTCTAGACCTGGGCACTGTCCCTCAGCTCTTCAGCTCAAGGCTAGCACTCTTACCACTCAAGCCACTCTGGCCTTTTCTGCTTATGTGGTACTGAGGATTGAACCAAGGGCCTCTTGTGGGCGCGGCAAGCACTCTACCATTAAGCCACCTTCCCAGCCCCCAGCCATATAGTTTTAAATAGTATTATTTCTCTCAAAAGGAGGCAGCATATTAACTGGCTCCCAAATATTACTTGAAAATGCTAAAAATATTCAAAAACATCTGTAAAGCCACAGGAAAAAATTGAAAAGAAAAAAAACTGCAAACTCAGATCCCAAGAGACCAACTGTCTTACTTAGATCATTTAGCAGGTCTGGAAGCCACAGCCTCTGTTTTTCCCGTTGTGTCCAGTGTGTGTTTTAAGTGTGGTTATCAGCTGCCAAACATGGCTAGTCAGTGATGTTTGTTAAAGTAGGAGTCTGAACTCTCATTCATCTGTTATAGTGATTTATTTAATCCCATTGAATGGATTTGAGATGGTTTTACCAGGAAAAAAAAAAACAAAAAACAAAAAACAGGAGACTAATGTCATCCACAAGTAAAACTCTTCCAATGGAACCATTTGAATATTATAGGGACACCAGCTCCCAGCCAGCCACAAGGCAGGAGTAGGTGTGCAAGAGAGAGAATCAAGCCTGTAGGAGTTATAAACCTGCCATATGTTACCTGTAGTCACTCAGGAGGTGGGGAGAGGTTTCGTGAGGTCAGTGGTCCTGCTGAGAAAGCCAGCTCTGTGTAGGTGTCTGGTTTTAGAAGTGAAGAGAAAGGGAGGTATAAAAAATGAAAGGCTGGTCAGGTGCCAGTGGCTCATGCCTACAATTCTAACTACTCAGGAGGCTGAGATCTGAGAAATGTGGTTTGCTGCCCACCTGAGCAGGAAAGTCCAATTAATCACCAGAAACAGGGAAGTGGAGCTGTGGCTCAATGAGCAAAAAGAGCTCAGGGACAGCACCTAGTCTTGAGTTGAAGCCCCACCACCAACACCTCCTCCCCCCAAAAAAAGAAAACAACAATGAAGGGCTGTGCTAGACAGTCTCAGCAGAGTGGGAGGCTGGAGGGTTATAATAGGGTAGAGAGAAATACTTGGAGTTTGATGTGAAACATCCTGAGTTTTAAACATTGACTGGGTCTGATTTTTGTATAGACTCTTGCCTCAGGTGAGATGTGAAGTGGAAAGAGGCCAGTAGTTGAGGAAGAGTGATCTATCTGCTCTGGCCAGAGGGACCCGGTGTGGTGTGAGGGTTGAATGTCGTCCGCAGGGAATTGGTTGCCTTTTGTTCAGGGCCTTCATTCTTTCTCAGTCCTCCAGGGCAGCACCACAGAAGTGTTATCTGGTAGTACCTTGCCTTGTTCTCATTCAGGGATTTGTGAGTGATCCCATGAGGGTAAGATGGGCCAGTGTTAGAGGTGTGGTCAGGCCCCTTGTTTCCCACAGCTGCAGCAGCTTTCAAATTTCCTTTCAAACTCAACAAGAAAGTGCATTTGGCTGAGTTGCAACTTAGTTTGCCAATTCAGTTATTATTGTATTTGAGAAACAAACCTAACATAAAATTAAGAAAGGATGAACACATTTCTATTGACCTGTTGGTGTTTAACAGGCTGCTTTGTTCTTATGGCAGCGGAAGCATTTATTACAGCTCTGTTATTTCCTCCAGGAACCCCTATCTCTCCATCTTTCAGAGCTGTATGTGTAGCTGCTTTTATAAAAACCTGCAAATTCCTGTTTTCCTTGGGCTGAATGGGAGTCATAGCATCAATAGGGCATGAGGGAGAAGTTTGAGATATCTTACACTAACCATATCAGCCACACCTCTCCCTCTCCCTCTCCCTCTCCCTCTCCCTCTCCCTCTCCCT